CTATCTATCTATCTATCTATCTATCTATCTATCTATCTATCTATCTATCTATCTATCTATCTATCTATTATCTATCTATCTATCTATCTATCTATCTGTCTGCCTATCGATCGATCGCCCTTTCTATCTATCTATCTATCTATCTATCTATCTATCTATCTATCTATCTATCTATCTATCTATCTATCTATCTATCTATCTATCAAAGCTAATTTCCTTTTGATTATAAAGTTTGAGATTTCACACAAAGGACAATGACTCAGACATAAACTAACAATGTTGCGCCCCCCCCCCAATCCTAAACCCCGAGCGAAATCTCGAGTCTTCGCATAAGTAAATCCATTTCATGCCTGACTTCTACTTCTACCACAGGAGGAATTATTCACCGTAAAACGAATACCCATGGAGCAAATGCTTGATCGGATAGGGTCTGGTAAATGAATGGTGGTTTCAGTGCACACTACGAATAGACCTCTCCCTTATTGTGTCACATTTGACTACCACAGGGTTACAAAGTTCTGTCTAACATTTTTCGCCTTTTTGAGTTAAATTAATAAGAACCTGAAGTCCAAAACCAAATGTTCTATCTGCTCTATTAAAATCGTAAGATTATTTGAGGTCGTTATCAAGATATTCAAAGAATTGCATTCGAAAAAGCCTGACATGATGTGAAGCCCTAAATTTTGACGTCGAATTTCTCAACACTAGGTACTGAGCAGATAGAACCTTGTAATTTTGAGGTAGCAATTTGTCAATATCTTTGATCGGAGCATGATGTTACGGAACACAAAAAGTACGGCTCACAACTCAACCATTTCCTTCTACATTGTATAATGGTTTCAAGTGCCTACTGCTGCATATCGCAGCTGCCATGTTGAGAGGTTATCGAATCCTACTGACATGGAAAATGTCGATAGCTTTCTAAACCTATCAGTATCATCTTCTCTAAGCATACCGGATGCATTGCAGCATTCCGCTCGTACACTGTACACATCCGATTGTTCGACTCGCGACCTTGAAAAACCAACACATCTGTTTTTGAATCTCACGATCGAATTGTTCATTGTTCATTGTTTCAGGAAGCAACATCCCTGCACTCCGGACATGTCCATTGATGCTCCGTTGCTCTCCCCCAAATGTTGCTGAGAGTCTTTCCACTGATTGTGCCAGTGCACATCTGGTTGAACGTTCTTCTGTTCTTTCCTGCAAGGATGCCAGATTTTCCGCTTCCTTTTTGTATTCCCAAAAGCATCACCCTCTCCACGCAGTACTGTCGAATTGTGCCCTATGGTAGTTTTTGACTCTCCATGGAGGGACCATCAGGCTGGCCCCAATTCAAATCGACTCAATTTGACTGAATTCGATTGGCAGTGTGCACTGGGTATTACAAGGAATGCCCATGGGTGAAATGCATGATCGGGTCGGCACGGGTCAGGTCGGGTGATGGCGCTGGCCACTGCATATACAATTGCAAATAGCCCCCTGCTTTGTTTCATTACGTTAAACCCACTAGGGCCTGTCTCTGTCTGAGCGCAGTGATAAGTAATAACCTCATGGTTGGTTGTTGGCTGTGAAGTTCATCAAACAGATCCGACAGTGACCTAGAAAGTAAAACATGTTTGACAATGGACGATTTGACCACATTGTGTCAAAATGGTATCTTTTGCCCTCGATGGGGGATAATTTTGTCGTCTTCAAATGTATTAAACAATACTAAATTAAAGGAGTTTGACACAATTTTCTGCAATGTGCTGTGGGTATAAGCTCCAACAGGGAACGCAACTCCCCGACTCACACACTACGGCTTCTATGCCATTATTAAAGGGGATAAAGGGGGGGGGGAGCATCTTGTCACCACATTTTCTACAATCGTAGTTTTGATGCTTATCGTTAAAATATGTTGACGAAGGTCTACTCTAGTAACTCCCCTTCCCCTCCCCCCAATACCGACATCCTTGCGCCCCCTACCCCCCGCAACAATTGAGTTGACTTCAAAATTACCATGAATGTATGCATGTATGCATGTATAGTGAGGTGGTACACTCAAAGTACGAGCATGCTTTCCACCATGTGCAGAACCAGGAGCCGATGCTATAGGCTGTCTAAAAGTGGCCTCAAATGGGACTACCAGTTCTCAAGTCTCTACGTTTGCTCCAGGCTCTACGTTTACTGCATCCTCTACGCCTGGTAAGATCCACAATAGAATTATCTTTCTAGAGACAGAATTCAAATTATAAAGTAAAGGTCTTCAGGTCCTCTGGGGTTCATTCAACCGACCTGGGGTCCTAATCATTTAAGGTAAACTTACGTTTTACAGGAACTGATTCTGGGCCTGGAAAATATTTTCTGGAAAGTTGTTTTCGTTTAGTGTAGGTTAAGCACACTTATTATTAACATAGTCCCTACTCGCGTCTGGGGAGTAATGATTCGGCTCTCAGTTAGTTGTTGCATAAACAATATGCATGCAGCAGTATGCTTGATTCCTTTCTGCGTGTGACAGTCTATTCAACCGAAGCCCTCCGTCTTTCTGCATGAAATCTGTGTCCCACAGCCTGGGTTTTCCTTGAAAGACGTGGTCAAGGCATCTCGTCTCCTAAATGGTCGAGAATGTATCAATAGGGGTGCAAAACATTTACTGTTACTTGAGAGTGGAGATGGGGCACTGCATTTCCACCTTGTGGTTACGATACGTTCTGAGAATAAACCAAATATTGTAAAGCACAAAGGGTTTAAACAGAGTAAAAGTTAAAGTGTGTGCCCAAGGCTTATGCCCAATGAAAATAACCAGCAGTTGCAAATCTAGCTATACGTATTATTAAATAAACCGCCTAGTGCACACTCTCGACCAGGGACGCGCTATGTTTGGGTAGTTTTATTTGTAAGAAGAATGAACTGATGGGGGCAAACAGGAACATAAGGCCTCATTTTTAGAGCCTCCCCAGACGATTGGAGGGCGCCACTAGTGAGTTTAAATTTTCTTTCCACAACTGTTATTACTATCTGTGTCTTGCGTTTCCCTTACACTAAAAAGGCCGCCACTGTGTCGATGCTCTTCTCTGTCTCTGTCTCTGTGCTAAAACTAAAAAAAGCAGCGTCATCGAGCATCACTCCCAGCAGCACAGAGACCCTAGCGTCGTCCGTCACCACAGCGACACCCGTCATGGCGCCGGCTGCAGTCTCGCAAGAGTTACTTACCCTGCGGAAGATCACTGGCGCCCTCAACGACGAGACAACGATGACGTACAGCTGTGTGGCCACGCCCCTTTTCCAGTCTGTCAGCCTGGCCACAACTTGTTACTGCACGAACGGGAGCTACGTGGCGAGTATTGGTGGCGTGGAGGCCACCTCATCTTCCCGTAAGTTTGCTCGACTGTTTGTTGTTTTTGTAGTTGAGATCTAACGCCTTACTACACACAACGTAGGCCATTTCAGAGGTCAAGAAGTTGCTCCTGGGTTGGGACTCCGGGCTGAGAAGAACATTTCTAAGAAGGACAACGAAAATTCTTTGAGTCCAACAGAATTCGAACAAAATTTTCCACTTTTCAGACCAAATCAATAACTTGCAGCACCACACTAGCCGGCTTGGTTTATGAAGTGTTTTCCACTCGTAATGACATCAAGAGACCTATACCTTTCGTATCTTAGACAGCTGAGGGAAAAAAGGTACTTTTCTCAAACTCAAAAAAATTGGAATCTGGAGTTCTATATTAGAAATCTATGCTTTAAAAAAAGTAATGTAAAATCGTTTGCAAGTACACACCGTTATAGGCGATTATACTAACATCTACCGTCCATTGACACGTGGACAACATGAATAGCAACAGTAACTTAAAAAAACCCAACAACTTTGCAACAGCAATCCCTTTACACAAAAGTCTCCTTTAAAGAACTTAAACCACACCCCAAACAGACACTGGAAATACTGTGTAGAGTGACTACAAAAAGATTATTATTAAGAGTTAATATCATTCTAAAGCCAAATGAGTACAGAGCGGGAGGCAAGATGGTGCCACTGGCAGGTCACACAGATCTTTCCCTTCTCTCTGTTATTTCTGTCAGCCCTGCTCTCTGTTACCCCTCACTAAGACTTAGTGTGCTCCCCTTACCAAAAGATAATCAAATAGCTCATAAACTTCAAGTAGCTGATTAAAAAAAGGTATCCATCTGGTGTAACCTAGGGCTAGGGCAATACGATATGGTCCGGGGTCGAGCTTACGTGAAAATGCAACATAGACTGGGTGGACACGGACGGCCTTCAATGAAAGTGAGGCAGCGTGGTGGAATCAGGCTCTCGTCAAAATAATCAAAGTGACGAAACTTGCATTTTTCCGCCGGTTTGTGAATTTTTATTAAATTTTTGTTTTTTGGCTCAACACCTTTCATGCCCATTAAAGAACGAATTTCTGTTCTGAAAAACGTTGATTAAAGGCTGAAAAAATGTAAATGTTCAGTTACCACGGACTCTTAAGCAAAGGAAATAACCAATCTTTGGCCGCCATTTTCTCACTAATTTTACCGCAGAAAACAGGTGACCCCCGCCTCCTTCTATCGCAAATATCTCGACTTGTATTCAAGATAAATGAATTTTTTTCCCATCCAAATAAAGACAAGTGAACAAGCTTTAAGATGATACCAATAACTCTACATGCCCAGAAGTTGACGACAGCCTGATTCCACCACGCTGCCTCACATATTGCTATAGCAAACGGTGCTCTATAGAGTCAGAATGCTGCCGTTCTTGTGTAGAGGTATAAGTGAGTAAGTGTTTTAATAAACGTTTCCATCGACACGATGTAGATCATTTAGAAGGCGGGCTGTTTCGACCCTGACCTGACCTGGCCTGACCATCAATGATTTATTTATAGAGGCACCAGCCATCCATGTCCAGGTGCTGTTTTAGCCTCTTTTTCCTGTCTGCGGATTAATCATCTTTTTTTTGGTGCCAATTTATTGGTTCCGCTTCTATGTACCCCATATCTATTGTTCTCAACCTGGAAGTCGCCTGTAATTAGTAGTAATTGCCCCCCCCCTACCATTTCTCATCATCCCCCCCCCCTATAGTGTCATCATTTATGTTACCGTCCATTTTTATCGATAACACGATTATGGATTAAGGGCAGTATTAATAATAATCAAGGGAAAAAATAATTAAATAATAAATAAATAAATAAATAAATAAATAAACAAATAATAAATAAATAATTAAATAAATAAATAAATAATGCTAATGATTCGACCCTGCCTGTCATGATCAACCCGGGGTGAGCGAGATACGACGTCATAACAGACAGGCAAAGATATTTTAGAAAAAGTCCATACTTGGGAATCAAACTCACGTTGTTTGTTCGCTCTGGCGCAGAACCTAACTACTTAACCACAGACGCCGCATGTAGCGTTATAGAAATGTAGATTCGTCATAAAGGGGCTATTAGTAGTCGCAAACACACAGGGAAAAGGAACGACCTTTAAAAAATGATGAACCAAAGTTATTAATTATCATCATACTTTTAGATTACATCAGCTTAGTAAACCGTTTGTTTCATGTATTCGTGGTTAGGCTCTCAGGCTCGCATTCGTAAGGTTGTGGGTTCAAATCCCGTCAGGGGCCCGACATTGTGTCTTTGGGAAAGGCACTTTACACACATTTTCCTCACTTCACCCACGTGGGAATGGGTACCCAGCTTTAGACAGCGAAAGATCTTGTCAGTTTGTCACTGTTTGAGCGCTTAATCAGCTGCTTGCACTGTATGCTTCTCGGGAAGCTGAGAATGTTTCTGAGTGTTTTATGGTCTGTTGGGGATAATAATATGTGAGGCAGCGTGGTGAAATCAGGCGCTCGCAAAATAATGAACGTAAAGAAACTGACTTTTTTCCGCTCGTATGTCGATTTTTATTGATTTTTTTTTCTTTAACACCTGCTATGTCAATTTAAAAAAAAAAACCTTTTCAGTGTGAATTATATTGAAAAACGTTGATCAAAGGCACAAAATGTAAATTGTCAGTTTCCATGAACTCTTGGGCTTTGTAAATAACTAAACTGAGGCGGCCATTTTATCACTAATTTTATCTCTGAAATAAGGCAACCCCCCACTTCATTCAATTGCAAACATCCCAACATGTACTCAAGATATGGGTATTTTAAAAATTATTATTATTATCATGTATTTTTCCGAGGCAGACGGGCAGACAGTGTCCACGGATAAGTACGCCAGTGAGCTAGTCCTAGACTTCGACGACCTGGGTTCGTCCAAGAGAAAACTGAACTCCGCGACAGATGAGCGCCCGTCCTCCGCGGCCATTGGCTATCTCGGCATCGTCTTGTGCTCCACAGTGCTCGCCCTGATTGTCGCCCTCGATCTCTCCTACGTCATCAAACCTTGTCTCAACAAGTTGTCCACGAGGCCGGTCTCACCGCTGCCCGACCAGTAGTTTGGATCCCCCCCCCCCTATACTATTTACACATATCATAATATGTACTAATTTTGTGGTTGTTGGAGGGCGGGAAGGGTTGGGGGGGGGCGTGTTGGGGGTGTTGTTTAAACTTTAGTTAGATGTCCCACCTGGCACAAATTGTGGGTTTTTTCGTGGGAGGATTACAAAGGAAAAGGAAACACTCAGGGTCAGATTAAGAATCAAAGTAATTATCATCACACTTTTACATTAAATAAATGCACGTACGAGGTATTTAGTCCTTGGATCCTTCTTACTGCTGTTTTTCAGCAGTCCCCCCCCCCCCACTGATCTTAGGGTAGGTGAGATCTAATACCTTTCCTTCTCGGAAAAGGACGAAAAATCTAAGAGGTCCCGTGTGCAAGTTATGGCTAAGGATATATGCTGCATTTCTTGTAGTTCAAATGGAAATGGTATGAGAATCCGAGTTCTTTTGTTGAACAATTGCAGCTAGTAAATCTATCTGTTGTTGCTTTTCTTTGCGTGTTTTTGATAGTTTTAACTTCACATCCTTACGTTCTTCAAATATCACTGTATAATATTGTGTAGGGCTGCCTGAATAGACAGCTAGTGGGCAGTGTCCAGCTGTAAAAAATATATGGAGAAAGAGGACCTTAAGTTATGCTTATGTTTTCGTAAACCTTTTAAAAAATAAAATGTTTTAATTTATTATCTAGAATAAATAGTTCTTATTTTACGAAAATAATTGCGCCTTTGTGTCTGAACTTAGACTTTAAAAGATGTTGCTTTAATTCCAGAAATGTAATAAATGGAATTCTTCATTCCAATAAGTTGTTTCAGAGTTTGTAATTGTTTTTGAGCAATTTGGCATAAAGAAGTGGGACGTTGACGGGTGCTCTGGTGTGGTTTGCGCCTTCTTTCCTATCAAACGTCTATCGTCCTTATCTCTCCTCTTTCTTTTTTGTGTTTGTTACTTCCTTGTAACACATCTAATCTTTGGCACTTATATGACCTTATCGTGTTGCATGTGCCTTAAAACACTTACTAAAACTAAACGGAGGAAAGGAAAATATCCACGAGAATCGTAAGGTAGTTTTTGACAATAGTTAACCCCCCCCCCCTGAAAAAACAAACAAACGAATAAGACGTAAATATTATCTATAAATTATAATGATCGCCTTGACTGGAGAAACAGAAACAATAATTTT